TAAGACTTATTTATTTTTAATTTTATTTATTCATTTACTTATTTTGACCAGAGAAACACAGACAGAGAGAGAGAGAAAGTGAGAAAGCAAGCCACCAGGTCCAGGACTTGAACCATGGTTGGCCATATGGGACTGTCCAGCGCCTTAACTACCACATCATCTGCTGGTCCCCTAAACTTCATTTTTAATAAACCAAACCACTGAGAAAATATGTCACAGCTGTGAAACAGCAAACAGACAGTCTATATTATCATTCCAAGTAATAATCTGACAAAAAGACAAGGTTCCTTTTTTTTTTTTTTTTTTTTTTTGAGAGTTTTTTTTTTGCTATAGGGCGTGTGCGCTCACCAGGCAGAGACTGAGAGAAAGCGAGAAATCACCCCCCAGGGGGGATGGCCACGCCGCAATCCCTTCTCCTCCATTCTCCTCTCGGGATCCTGGGCACGCACGCACATGTGCCCGGCGTGAGTTTTAACCTACTGGGTTCAGGACGTGAACTGCGGTCGACTACATGGGAGTCCAGCGACATAGCCATTACACTAACTGCTGGTCCCCAAGGTGCCTCTTGTAACAGGTCCCTGGAATAACGAGAATAGAACAGGTGGAAGAAAAGAGGATGCCACTTATTTTCTGGGATCAGCTGCAGCGTGACTGTTCAAAATAACTGGGTGGGGTTCTATTTCTGCTAAAACTGTCAAGCCACTGTTTTTCTGGGTCTGTTTCCTCGTCTGTCCTGATATCAGTATGGATAATGCAATCTATAAGGACCCACTCCAATCTAAAAGCCTCTGATTCTAAATGCCAGAAAAATTACAATATTGATTTTTAAAAATTAACTTTGAGGTCTAATTTCTATCTCGAAAACATAAGGCCATTTCAGGGGACCAGCAGATGCCATAATGGTTATGTTGCTGGACTACCACATAGTCATCCATAGTCTGAGTCCCAGACTCGGGGAATTGAAACTTACGCCAGGCACATGTGCATGCATGTCCAAAATGCCAAGAGGAGGATGAAGAAGGGACTGCAACATGGCCATCCCCCAAAGGGATAATTTCTCACTTACTATTTCTGTCTCTCTGGCAAGCACATGTGCCCATAGCAAAAACAAACAAAAAACCTGATGCCATTCTCAATATACAGTTCTAGAGTTTTTAGACCATCTAATCTTCCACCAATGCCACAACCATGAGAAACAGTGTTCCCTGCAACCCCCAAATCTCCCCAGGCCTCTTACAGTCACCCCCACTGCTACTCCTGGCTGCAGACAGCCATGCTCGTTTCCTGTAACTATAGATTAGGTATCTCTTTCCAGGAGGATCACATAAATGGAGTGACTGTATACGCCCTCTCATGCCAAGCTTCTTTCCCTCAGCACAGCATTTTTTTTTCTTTTTTTTTGGGGGGGCGGGGAGAGGTTTTTGCTATAGGGTGCATGCACTCGCCAGAAAGACAGAAAGCAAGAAATCACCCCCCAGAGGGGACGGCCACACCGCAATCCCTCCTCCTCCATTCTCTTTTCAGGATCTTGGGCATGCACGCACACGTGCCTGGTGTGAGTTTAAGCCACCAGATCTGGGACTTGAACCGCAGTGACTACATGGGAGTCCAGCGACATAGCCTTTACGCTAACTACTGGTCCCTTGGCATAGCATTTCGGAGAGTCACCCATGTGTTGTATCAGTGGTTCATTCATTCCTTTTCATGGCTGAGGGGGTTTCCATTATATGGACCCTACACCTTATATTTATCCATCCACTTAATTGTCATCTGGGCTATTTCCAGCTGGGGGCTATTAAAAATAAAGCTGCTATGGGTGGAAGTCTTGGAGTGGAGACAGGGTCTCAATTCTCTTGGACAATCACCCAAGAGAGGACCTGCTGGGTTATTTATAAGGTATATGTATGTCTAACTTTATGACACTGTCAAACTATTCTTCGGATTGGTCATACCATTTTATATTCCCACCAGCAAAGTACATACATACATACATTCTCTTTACTCCATGTGCTTGCCAATGTTCAGCACTAGCTCCGTTTTTTTTTTTTTTTCCCTTTTTAAATGTGCTATAGGGCGTGTACTCACTAGAGAGAAGACACAGAGAGAGAGAGAGGGAGAAGGAGAAAGGAACCCTCCTCTCCCCACCCCTGCCCCCCACAAAGTATGACTATGCTGCCGTCCTTTCTCCTCCATCTCTTCTTGAGATTTTGGGGGCACATACACACATAACTGGCATGTTTTTCAGGTCAGTGAGTCTGTGACTCGAACCATGGTTGGCCATGTGGGATCTAGGTGCCTTAACCATTATGCCACCCAGCTGGCCCCATCATCTCCATTTTTAAAAAAGTTTTAGTCATCATTGTAGTAGTAACATGGGGGGGTTCATTTTAATTTTTAATTTTTATTTTTAGGTTTTTGCTATAAAGGGTGTGTGCACTTGTCAGAGAAAGAAAGAGACAGAGAGAGGGAAAGTGACAAATCACCCTCTCAGAGGGGATAGCCACACTGCAATCCATTCTTCTTCCAGGATTTTAGGAAAACAGGCACACATGCCCAACACGATCTCCAAGCTGCCGGGTCTGGGACTTGAACTGTGGTCAGCTATGTGAGAGTCCAGCATGCCACCTATTGGCCCTCATTTGCATTTATTTTATGGCTAATTATATTAGACAAGTGAAAAGATGCTTACTGGCTACTTACGTTCTGTCAGGTGTTCATATCATTTGTCCATTTGTTGGTTTCTTGCTAAGTTATGAATTCTTCTTATATTCTAAATACAGGTCCTTTGTCAAATATAAATTTGTAATATTTTCTGTCCTTTTCTGGCCTATCATTTTCTTAATGGTGTCATTCAAGGAATTTCTCATTATGAAGTCCAATTTACTATAGTTTTTTTTTTGGGGGGGGGTAGGTTTTTGCTATAGGGCAAGTGCGCCCGCCAGAAAGACAGAGAGACAGAAAGTGAAAAATCACCCCCTGGGGGGATGGCCACACTGCAATCCCTTCTCCTCCATTCTCCAGTTGGGATCTTGGGCACCCATGCACACGTGCCCAGAGAGAGTTTAATCCACCGGGTCTGAGACTCAAACCACGGTCAACTACATGGGAGTCCAGTGACATAGCCATTATGCTAACTGCTAGTCCCAGTTTCGCTTTTTTATAAAAAATAATTACTTCATTAATTCCATTTGTTATTAATTTTTATTTTGACCAGAAAGAGGCAGAGAGAAAAAAATAAAGCAAGAAAGCAAGCTGCCAGGTCCAGGACTCAAACCATGGTTGGCCATGTGGGAACCCAACGCCTTTAACCACTGCGCCACCTGTCGGCCCTAGTTTTTTTACTTAGTTTTTATGATTACCGCTTTATGTAACCTAGGAAATCTTTGCCTAGGTCCTGGTGCTTTTCTCCTACAATTTCTTACAGAAACTTAATAGTTTTACCTGTTACTTTTAGATCTATTATTTGTTTCAACTTAATTTTTCTATATGGCATGTGATCGAAAGCTTCATTTTTGCCAATATGACTCTTCTGTTGTTCCTACATCAGTTTGTCAACATGTGCTTTCCCAGGGTTGGCAGGTGACGTACTGAAGGGTGCTGGACTCCCACAGGGCTAATGGTGGTTCAAGTTCCAGATCTGGTGGCTTGCTTTCTCACTCCCCACCCCACCCCTCCCTCTCTGGTCAAACTAAAATAAGTAAATAAAGTTAAATAAAAATACTTCTTAAAAAGAAAAAAAAAAAAGAAAGAAAGGAAAATATGCCTTCCCCAGTGAGTTACCTTGGCCTTTGTGTTGAGTATTAGTTGATCACAAATGTGTGGGTCTGTTTCTGGGTACTCTACTCTGTCCCACTTGACTGAGTTCTACCTTCATACTAATACCTCACTGTCAAAAACGAACAAACAAACAACACCTCATAGTCTTGATTACTGTGCTTTAGGCAAGTCTTAAAACCAGGCAGCAGCAGTTTTCTGACATTGTTCTCTAAAAAATTGTTTTGGTTCTTCCAGGTTCTTTGTGTTTTCACAAAAATTGTAGGATCAGCATATTAATTTCTAAAAATGAAAAAAAGAAGGAAGCCTGTGGGGATTTCGACAAGGACTGTGGAGAATCCACAGATCAGGCTGGAGAGAGGGAATGAACATGTTCACCTCCAAAAGTGGTTCATCTCTCCACTTAGTTAGACTCTGTTCTTTTAGCACTCTTTTAATGGATTTTAGTATACAGAGCTTACACATATTTAAAAACGTATCCCCAAATATTTCATATTTTTATGCCACTTTAAACACAAACTTTAAATAGATAATTGCTTCTGGCATGTAGAAATGCAATTGATTTTTGTAAATTGACACTGTATTCTATGACCTTGGTAAATAACACTTAACTAAACTGCT